ATGTTTGGTGTGACGGGGGATTCAAACCCGCGACCCACAGATTGCGAGTCGAGCGCCCTAACCACCTGGCCATGCCGGGCCAACATGCTATGTACCAACAGCTACAATAAAAAATAAAATAAACATTATAAGGCATGTGTTTTCTCTTCAGCCTAAGAAGATAATAACGAAAGGGAAAACATTTCACCTATACCTATTTTAATATTACACTATATATAGGATCCCAGGGATTTAAACGCCATCCGGATGACTGAGAAGTCACTTAACTCTGTTGTAGCCCACATTCTCTCTGTGCCTCTCTAAGCGACATAATAACACCACATGTGCTGTATATAAACGTGTATAAGTTTCCTTTGTTATTCAAAGGTAAAAGTAATGTACAAATTCGAATATATTATGTTTGTTCTGTAACCCACAATAGGCAAACCACCCTTTACGAAAACGCATTAAAGCGAATGTTCGTGATGTTAACAGTTAAATTACCAACTATACAGCTTTTGGATATTTTGTAAAGAACCATGATATCATCTCTATGAATAATATATTTTATAAGAATAAAAACTTCTTGCAAATTCAAAATATTACTCTGATAAATATTCTCAAGGAAACTATTTCTTTCGAGTTTTATACCAAAACTGAGTAATGAATATATATCTTTGCATGGCTTCTTGAATATCGTGCAAAACTAGTCGAGGGTACCTGGATAGACTAGAGAGAGAGAGAAGGCAGCTAGTCAAACCACCCACCGTCAACGCTGGGGCCACGCTTTTTAACAACGAAAAGCGAGACCAACCATCGCATTATAATACCCTCACGGCTGATTTGTTTGTTTGTTTTTGAATTTGGCGCAAATATCTACGATATAACATCGTATGATCTGCAGATTTGTTTCCATGGTAAAAGTGTAGTGAGGTAGTCAAGGATAAGTTATTCTTACCCTTTTCTTAGTTGGGAAGTATGACATTTGTCACTTTTTGTACAACCCTTAGTGCCTATCATGCTACTACTCATTCTGAAGCCTAACCACCAAGCTTGTTTGGAATTAAGCACAAAGCTACACAATGGGCTATCTGTGATCTGCCCACCACAAGTATCGAAACCCGGTTTCTAGCGTTGTAAGTCCGCAGACATACCGCTGTGCCACTGTGGGAGGGGGGGGGCGCCTAACCACCAAAAAGTTTAATTCACCTATCATATCCAGTAGGAATGTTTCTCGTGGCATGAACTTCAATATCCAGGAAAAATAAATGTGTGAATATCACATATGTGTATGAAAGTCACAAGTCACATATTTACAAAATTACAGAACAAGAGTGTATATTAAGATTATAAGTTACAAGTGAGCTGAATATCATATCTCAGTGTGAGAGTGTGTGGTTGTTACAAGTGGCTGAACACGAGCGAGGTTCCGGGATACGAGAATGTATCATAGTGATCATTATGAGTAGGATACTTTTCTGGGTATCATTTAGTTCCAATGAAAAACCTACCGTTTTATCTCCAAGATTGTCGACAACACAGTGCAGGTAAGCTGTCTGGCCTAACTGGCAGGTAGCATCTTTCATGGTAATGTTGCCAGTGATTGGAATAGCGTACCCTCCAACGCTCCAGTATTCCTCTAAAGGTAAAACCCCGTCATCTGAAGCGTACTTTGTGGTAATGACATCGGTCGTTCCGTTGGTATCTAGATAATAAAATGAAACAGTCATAGATATATAAACAACATACATAATGCAGTTTCTTTGAATGATACAAGGTACTGCAAGATAGTTTCCTGGCTTTTCATGAACGATGTTACAGTATAACGATGTTTATAAAATTCAGAAACATTTTCTACTTTATAAAAGACAGAATGCCTTTTCTGCGAGCAAAGATTTTAAAATTATTTTCAACTTCGGAAAATGTGTTTTGAATTATTTGGTTGCTGAAAGAAAACTAGCAATATACGCATCATAGAGATAGAGAGTAGGTTCATTAACCTACCAATATATATATACATTTGTATATAATAAAATAATTTCAAGAGTGTATATAAACAATTATAACTATTTGATATTTAGTTGGAACCAACATTGATTCATGGCTCTCATCTCTCTGGAATACGTACTTTGCCACTGGCTAATATTCCTAAACTTCCATCACTTTTAAATAGAAACTTTCTTAAGAAGTGAATTTACTACATTGTGGGCTCTCTCAGGCATTAGTAGACAATTTTCTTATGGATAATTCTTCCTTAACTCTTATACCTATACTTAACTCTTATCGCTGCAAATAGGTACGTTCTTACTGAGCAGAATTTATAAAATCTCAGCATTCATAAATAGGAATTTTCTTGCTGAACAACCTGCTTAAGCTCCGAGTCTTCTGGCGTAGGATTGTTCTTACTGAGAAGACTGTCTAAACTCACAGATTTTCAAAATTAATAAGCAAACTTTCTAAGCTGTACATTTTCTCAAAACGTTAACTTTCTGAAATTTCTTCAACACTTCTTTAATTAAAAATACTCTATAAATTCCGAACTTTTTTTTTACAGTAAAATCTGCGTATATTTACATAGAACTATTTTGGAATTTAAAGTTATCGAATAATTTTCCTTTAAATGATAAAGCAAATAAAAAAAAAGACGTCCAAATGTAAGGAAATGCTGCTACGTTTAATCTAAAGCCAACGGAAACAACTTATTTAAACATTGAAAACATACTTACATAAATATCATGTGCACATTTAACAAAAACTTTTGATATGCTATGTATTTGAAAATAGTACATATCCGCTGACAAAAATATTTAATTTTCTTTAGTTCTCAAAATAATAAATATTTAAGTAAAATAAAAATATGTGAATCTTTCTGATTTCTTTATTGTTTATATTTGAAAAATTATATATTGTTGTTCGAACACTTTCTGAGAACACTTAAAGTCTAAATATCTTTTTGTATTATTTCATGCTGCAAATAAGGGAATATTTAATGTTTTTAAAAATCTCGAAATATGAAGTTTTAGTAAATGTTGTTTGTTTTTTGCTATAATGATAAATGTTTTTCAGTTAATATCTTGTCCAAACAAGTGTCAGTGTAGATTATTTAGTAGCATTAGTTGTTGTAAGCACTTTAGATGTTACACGAGGGGAGGGGAAGGGGGAGAGACGATCAAAGACGATGACGTCATAGTCCCACAAAGTGTCACCAGGGGCGAGTTGTTTTGGGCGCTTTGCTAGGTCGCCATGACAGGCGGCCGTGACGTCATAGTTCCAAGAAGTGGAGCCAACACAAATTTGATCAATCTGTCTCAACATGACTATAATTAATACAGTCGCTATAAAACACCAATTTATTAGTTAATTACGTTTTCTGACCATTTATGTTTATTTAACTCGTTTTAAAACTGACGCTTAACGCTAATTGATTAGTTCTAAACATTTTCTGACCATTTATATTTAAATATTCCAGAAAAAAACGTTTAACGTTTCAACTGCCTCTCTTTCAGTCTGTGCATGGTATTATGTACTTTTAATCTGATGGGCATCTTATACACCACCTGATGACACAACGCTCAGATCAAAGAAAGAATCACAGTAATCCGTAATTTAAAAACACTGATAACAGCGAGAAAAGTCAGTCAGAAGCACTAGCCGTCCATGCGGCCACTCTTAACTGAGAGACTTCCCAGTTACAATATTCCCTCAGATGAAAATTCATAATGTACTCAGTGCTGTATTACATCTTAAGCTTTCGACCTTCAATCCCGCAGCCCTAAATCCGCCTACATCTTCAAATACTAACTTTTTAATTATTTATCTCTGTTTCTTTCATTTATTCTATGAACCATTAGATCTGTCTTTCTCCTTTTTCTCATCTATTTATCTTCTAGTCAATTTATATTTATTTCTGGTAATCTGTAGTCCATATATTTTTTTATTTTTATGCGAAACTCTAATTAGTTTCTATTTATAATCATCATTAAATATTCGATTAGTAATAATAATAATGAATAATATCAATAAAAATAATAATGAAACTTTCACGTAACTTTCGTTTATTTTTAAAGTATGAATATAAATATGAGTTTAACGATCTTAGATTAGAGCAATGTGCAGTGATAACGATAGATATATTAGAGCAATGTGCAGTGATAGATAGCGAAATATATTATTTGATTCCGTAGAAGAAGCCAAGTGAATAAATGTAGATAAGTTAATCATTTTCCAACAGTATATTTTATTTCATGTCTTAGAGAAATGTTATGATATTCTAATGTGAGAGCTTTAGCTTGGCTTAGCTTCTCTATCTTTTTCCGTGTCTGTAATGCAGGTTCATAACATAATTTTGAAACTTATCATTGAATATACGATTGAAATATGTTTCCATCGTTATGATAAAAAACATTTTTGTGAAAAGTGTTTGCTTCTGAAAGATAGTTTAAAAAAGTCAGCTATGTTTCATTAGATAAAAGGTCAGTAATCAGCGGCGAGTTTGGCAAAAAATATTTTAAATTAATGTAAAATTATTCCCTTTTGTCATCGATGGTAAGATGGCGTTATGGCTTATCAGGTTAAAGCTTATTTACATATTATCGAACATAGTTTAGAAATTATTCAAAGTCAGCTCGGAATTTTCATAATACATTAAAACTGATGAAGGTCATTTGTTATTCATACTCACTTAAGCTCCTCAAAAAACAAGCACACACACACACACACGTGCGCGCACGTATAAACAACAATAACTAGTGATTAGCTAGACGACCAAAAATAATCTGAACCTCTAGTTCACAAGTCAGAGTCTGAAAATTATCAGTCTTAACTTAGCCATTTATCTTTATATGTTTCTATTTATTTAACTAGCTAACGAACAACTATAGTTAGATAAACAGATAGATAAATGTCTTTATACGTTTCTGAAGCTATTAGTTACACTCACTTTATAACTCCCTTTGTCTTTCTATGTATCTGTTTAGCTGGTTTCTGTCTGTCTATCATTATTTATCTGTTTTTATTTTTGTCTCTTCTTTTTATAGCCTAGGGCCTGGCAAATATATATAGTCTATCTAAGTAATCAATCTCTAGCATGATATTTTAACTTAAACTAGATTTAGAAATAAAAACTGTAGATTTAATAGTTGATTTGCCATTATACTATACTGAAGACTATCTTAAAGAGGAATACTAGTTTCATACGTTTTCAAGTTCGGTTATGAACATTATTATGACTCTACTGAGTCAGACATTACCTTTAGATCTGGAGAGTGAGATCACTCGCTGTGCTGAACTGAGAGAGTCAACAGACAGCTGAATATTATTTTGAATGTTAAACAGATATGTGTTCAAACAGAGTGAGAGAGAGACAGGTGGTTGGTGCATTGCTTGTTTTCACGTTTAAGTTTACAAAGTGCTACATCAAATGTATGCTGTGATAGCAAATTTTTCGTCTACACATATAGAAAGTTTGAACACTGTGTTTATATATATCTCCATACATTACTGTCAATTGTTTACACAGTAATCAACTTGGAATACTTTCTTAAGGAATAAATCTGGTCATCAATTGTGGAACTTTATTAAATATCAACTGGAGAATGAGTTTTTGATTCTGTACCTCCGAATTATATCTGAATTGCGTTTCAAAGATTTCAGACATGTCATCAATTTGATATTTTCCGACGTCTGTTGATCGTTAGTTATTTTTATACTACTTGGTTCTATTGATTCGTCAATCATATCTTTAAAAATTTAGATTGTGTATAAATCCAGCAACAAATGCTTCGTTGGTTTAATATAACACAGCTGAAATGGATGTTAAATATCTGTGAGGAAATTAATTCGTAGATCTTATAAAAAAAATATTGTTTTTCAAGCCCCTATCGTGGTTAGTGTTTGTAAGGTTTGTCCATTTATAAATCAAACCTAACTTCAGCAATGTACCGAATAAATGTAATATAAATGGATATGAAAATCTAGATTACCTGCTTGGCCGTCCAAAATTATATGTTCCTTGGATAGTATCAATTTTGGGTGTTGCCGTAAAACGAAACCACACGTGACCTAGGACTTTAATGAGAATTTAGGATTTGCAGGTGAGCACAGTCATTATGTACAGGGGTCCAGATTCTACTAGATTGTATGCATAAAATGCAGCCTTCATTTTATCATAACTGTAAGGAATCGGTAGACATGAATGTTTGAGTTACAATGCTGAAATACAGAATGAAGAAGTAATTGCAATTTGGTGAGATGAATCTCCGTATATTTCTAACATGGATGGTTTAATCTTGATATCTAAGTTATACCTGACCAATTAACAATATATGATCATCTTGATATCTAAGTTATACCTGACCAATTAACAATATATGATCATCTTGATATCTAAGTTATACCTGACCAATTAACAATATATGATCATCTTGATATCTAAGTTATACCTGACCAATTAACAATATCTAATCATCTTGATATCTATGTTATACCTGACCAATTAACAATATATGATCATCTTGATATCTAAGTTATACCTGACCAATTAACAATATATGATCATCTTGATACCTAAGCTATACCTGACCAATTAACAATATCTAATCATCTTGATACCTAAGTTATATCTGACCAATTAACAATATATGATCATCTTGATATCTAAGCTATACCTGACCAATTAACAATATCTAATCATCTTGATACCAAAGC